CATTTGTTTTAAAGAATTCAGTTCTGGATCCGTATCCGAGACATGTCTGGATTGATCAAGTTCAAACTTCACACACACATGGTACATCATGTCACAAATAGATATGTGCATTTGTTTCATGATCTGCTTAACAATAGCGGAATGATGGCCATTTTAAGGCCGAAAATGCATCAAAATCACATATTTTCACAATTCCAGAACCGGATCTCAGTCATGCATGGATGGATTTTGTTCAGATTTAGCACAATGTGTTGTACATATGCAGGTGCATTTCGGTCTTGATCTGCTTTGAATGTATATGTCACTCAAATATGAACGGAATGGGGACGTGTCATTGACAATGACTTGTTGACATTGGTCTCAGCAATCAGCCTCTATTTCACCATTCAGTATACACTCTGTCATTTGACATTGCTCCTATTAGTTGGTATTGGCCTTTCAATTGAATAATCACAAACCTTCCCCATTGTTGTTATTATTTTCAGATATTATTCAAGATTTCTGATTACACACATAGTGGGTGTATAATAGACCAGAAGTCCATGCAGATTCACCCCAGTGTGAAAGCCAGAATCACAACAGGTAGGGCAGTAGCATATCATATTAATCACGAACTGTAAGCATATATACGGTACCAGTGTTTTTTTATACCAATACAAATATATGTATTAATGGTAGTAATAACAATAAAACTGCAGTAGAATTACTGGTAGTATATATTTATGCATATTAATGAGACTTATTAAACTTCCTGTCCACTGTTTTGTAAATTTCATATTCAGTTTCGTTTGTGTGAAATATATCCTACTATAAAATCCATCGTGTCCAGTTGTACATTACTTTCATACAGGTGAATACAAACAAGAGTTTGTGAGATAAAGTCCCCATTTGAAGTCCCACGAATTGCTATACATAAATAAATATTGCTATACATGGCAAGACATATTAATGTTAATCTGTGAAAGAAATGGTTATTTAAGTGTTCTTTTTTGTCTAGCATCCTTGCATATATTCGCAGAACCTGAATAGGGAAATAACATTGCATATTTCTGTTTAAGGTAGAAGTCTACTCTTAATTAGTCCCCGTTCGGACGTAGTCCGAAAACGGGGACTTATGTCTTGCCCTGTGTGTGTGCGTGCATGCGTGCGTGCGTCCGTGATCACCTGCATCTCGAACATGCATAGACCGATTAAGTTCAAACTTCACTCATACATCACACATTATATGGGACATATGCACATGCATTTTTTTCATGATCCGATTAACGATAGCTGAATAGCGGCCATTTTAAGGCCGAAAATGCATCAAAATTGCACATTTACACCATTCCGGACTCGGAACTCAGTTATGCATGGACGGATTTTGTTCAAATTTGATACATACATTAAACATAATAGGACCTTGATGCACATCATTTTTTTTTTCCGGATCAAGTTCGAAATGGCCGACTGGCGGCCATTTTGTTTTAAAGAATTCAGTTCTGGATCCGTATCCGAGACATGTCTGGATTGATCAAGTTCAAACTTCACACACACAAGGTACATCATGTCAAAAATATGTATGTGCATTTGTTTCATGATCCCATTAACGATAGCCAAATGGCGGCCGCTTTAAGGCC